CCGACCGCCCGGCATGTCAGTTAGCCGCGAGGCTAACAAGGCATTTGCCCTGGGCATTTGGGGGCGGCAAAAAAATGCCGCCCAAGGCAAATGCGTTGTTTGCCTCGCGGCTAAAATGTCCCTGCTTAGAATACTTTGCTACTAGGCGACCATACATGATGCTGGTGAGGTGATCATGAGGCTACAGTTTGCACTAAACTTAACTACATCTCCCTGAAGTGGTCATATGTCAAGCATCTCATGTTTGTCCAACTTTTAAGTCTATCCTCTGTCCATACTCCCATCTCTGATGCTCGCCTTCAAGACTTCTCCAGGGCTGCACCTTTTCTGTGGCACTCTCTTCCCTTCTCCATTAGACTTTCACCCAGCCTCCATTCCTTCATAAAATCATTGAAAACTTACTTCTTCAGGAAAGCGTATCAATTAAACTGTTAATAACTTTTCACCCTGCACCCTAACTCCTCTCCTGCAACTGTAAAACAAAAACCTACTAAGCCCTCAGTGAATACTTTTCTAGCGACCTAGTTTGATACCCCTACTTTTACCTTTTGTGTTGCTATACCCCACTCCCTCTAGCATTTAAGCTCATTGAGCAGGGCTTTCAACCCCTCTGTTCCTGTGCGTCCAACTTTTCTGATTACCATTACGTGTTTGTTAGTCCTCCCATTGTGCAGCGCTACAGAACTGGCTGGCGCTTTATAAATAAAATAATAATAACACTTGACAGTGTTTCTGTTTGGGCTGTCTGTTTTGGGATGTCAAGGTTAATACTCCCCAACACGCAAACCAGAGAACAATAAAGGCAAGCACAGGCGGACGTATTACCGGACCTTAAAGTGGCCGGACTTAACTTAGGAATAAGAGAAAAGAATAGTCAAACGTGCCAAGGTCAGGGATATAGAGGTACGGGTAAGCGAATAGACAGAGTCAAAGTTCAGGGAGCCAGAAACGAGAATAACCAAATAACAAGCCGAAGTCAGAAACCAAAGAAAGACAACTACTCAGAACGCACTCTCGGGCTGTAATAAACCACGACAGGGCAAGGAAGTGATGTCAGAAGGAGGTTAATATAGAGAAAGGTGTATTCTGATAGGCAGGGACAGAACGTCCTCGAACGCCCTCCCAGAGGGTGCAACGACAGCCAGAGATCTGCACCGCCCAGCAGGAGAGGACGGACGGTGGGACCGGGACAGCGCGGGACACGAGGTATGACAGAACCCCCCCTGAGGGAACGCCTACTGGAGGAACACCAGAAGGGCAAGAAGGAAACCTAGCATGGAACGCCCGAAGGAGTCGGGGTGCATGGACCTCAGAAGCAGGAACCCATGAGCGCTCCTCGGGCCCATAACCCCTCCAATGGAACAGGTACTGAAGCAAGCCACGACAGACCCGGGAGTCGACAATATGTTGGCTCTCGTACTCCTCCTGGCCATGAACCAAAACAGGAGGAGGACGAGACTGGGAATGGGAATGACTAGTGCAAACAAGTGGTTTCAGGAGGGACGTATGAAAGACATTGAGTACACAGAGGTTTTTGGGAAAATCCAAGGCATAGGAAACAGGATTGATCTTTTCACAAAACCTTCATTGAGCCAACTTCATTGAGGGAACGCGTAAGCGCAAGTTGCCCATAGACAACCAGACTCTATCACCAGCAACATAAGAAGGTGCCGCCCTACGGTGCCTATCAGCAAAGGCTTTCTGAGTAAGCATAGTCTTCTCCAAGTGTCATGTACAGTGGATAAGTGTTCATCCAGAACCGGCATTCCCTTGTGAGAAAACAAAGCTGGAAGCAGATTTGGATGACGACCATACGTGACAAAGAAAGGACTGTGACCAGAGGCAGAGTGCTTAGCATTATTCCTGGCGAATTCAGCCCAAGGAAGAAGGTCAGCCCAGTTGTCCTGGAGTTGAAACGTAAAACAACGGAGATATTGTTTAAGGCTTTGATTGGTCCTTTCAGCAGCACCATTCATTTGAGGATGATTGGTTGAGGAGAAGCCGAGTTCAATACCCATGTCTTTGCAAAAGCCCCTCCAAAACTTTGAAATAAATTGTGAACCCCTATCAGACACAATGACGCCTGGCATTCCGTGTAGGCGTATTATTTCCTTGGTGAATATTCTGGCTAATTCAGCAGAAGAAGGCAGTTTTCTCAAAGGTATGAAGTGCGCCATTTTAGAGAAGCGATCAACTATAACCAAAATAACAGTAAAACCCTTAGATTGTGGCAGCTCGAATATAAAATCCATAGACAGTTTAGACCAAGGAACTGACGGCAAAGGAAGGGGATGCAAAAGACCACATGGTACTTGATGGGAAGATTTAGATTGAGAACAAACGTTACAAGACGATACGTAAGCTTCAACTTCCTTTCTAAGAGATGGCCACCAATATTGTCGTGTGATCAAATCAATGGTCTTAGATACCCCCATATGTCCAGCCATTTTACTGTCATGGTAATGGCTGAATACTTCCCCTCTCAGCTCGGGAGGTACATAGTATTTTTCAACAGTTTTATCAGTAGGTGCCCTATCTTAGACCCTTTGGACTTTGTGCAGAAGAGAGGAAGAGTTCTAGTCAAAGCGATGATTCTCTCCTGGGGTATGATGGGTTCTTTTATGACCTCCTCCTTATCAAGAGTGGCAAACTGTCTGGAAAGAGAATCTGCTTTGGTGCTATGATTACCCGGTTTATAGGAGATTACATAGTTGAAGCGGGAAAGAAAAAGAGCCCAGCGGGCTTGTCTGGATGAAAGCCTTCTAGCGTCACTTAAATAGGATAACTTCTTATGATCAGTGAGAATCATGATAGGAACCATAGATCCCTCAAGTAAGTGACGCCATTCCTTGAGAGCTGAAATTATGGCTAATAATTCTCTATTGCCTATATCGTAATTCTTTT